AACAAGTATGCAAATAATAGTCCCGCTACCTTAAAAACTGAAGATATCATTAGAAAATGAACAATATGTATAGTATCGAAGCAATCAGACTTGCTGTTTTTAACAAGAAGTCGAAAATATCACTTTTTACCAAAAATGTCAAAAATATTCATCAAAATTAGAGAATTAAAGATATCAGCACGAAATGAACAAATCTGAAAGAGGTCCACATGTTGTACCTATATATGTAATCGAACTTGTGGTTTTTAACAAGAAGTCGTAAATATCACTTTTTACCGAAAATGTCAAAAATATTCATCAAAATTAGAGAATTAAAGATATCAGTACGAAATGAACAAATCTGAGAGAGGTCCACATGTAGTACCTATATATGTGATATCAAAGCAATCGGACTTGAGGTTATAACACAAAGTCGAAAATATCACTTTTTACCAAAAATGACAAAAATATTCACCAAAAATAGAGAATTCAAGATTTTGACATGAAATGAGCAAATCTGAGAAAAAAACATCCAAGGTACTTGCATATCAAATTTGAAAACATTCTGACTTGCGGTTTCGAAGAAGAAGTTGAAATTGTAAAGTTAACACCGACGACGACGGACAATCAGTAATATGAACAGCTCCGCTGTGTTGACTTTGTCGACAGCGGAGCTAAAAAAGTGTTTGAATTTAGATCTAAATAGTTTAATTCTTACAGTTCATTTCTCCATGTTCTTTATAATGCTGCATATCTCGATTAAATACATCTTGAAATGTCTTCTGCCTTTCTTCCATTTTGGCATTCTCATTTCTTTCTATTTCTCTCACTTTCTGTTCATATTCTGACTGAAGCTGAGCTGTGTATTATAAACACAATACAAACATTTTTTTAAAAAATTTGAGCGAACTGTTGCTTTTCTAACCTTTCAGCAGTCATGTGGAGTTTTTTTTCCACTCTAAATACTATTAAACTTTAAATATAGTCCTGGTAACAATGATAACAAAAATTGGAAATTGGCAACCAATAAAATAATTATTATCGGGGTATTAATTATACACACCTTTTAAAACTTCTTCTTCTTGTCTAACCATGGTTATAAGGATAAAGAAAAAAAATGATTAAACTGTGATGCCGCACATTTATTTAAGAAAGAAAAACTAACAATTATAGTAATTTTTACAAAATGTGAAAATTATTTCTAGCTGAGATTCTTTAACTACCTTTTAATTTCTTTATAAGCCAACATTTGATTCTTATGACCCTGCACATTTCGTATATGCTCTTCCTCATCACAAAGATCTTCTAAATATGTCATCATTCCTTCTACCTCCTCAAACTGACCTTCTAGTGAGCCTGTACACGAGACATGAGTGTTAGTTGTATCATGTAACTTGTATTACACAGACATACTTGTCATTTGAAATACAATATCTCACCTATGGATATGGCAACATTCTGTAAATCTTCTGATAGTTTTGGTAAACTCGTTAACTGGTTATTGAACTGTGATAACGCATCCACCTGCTTCTCAAACTTTGAAAGTTGTTTCAGTATTTCATTATCAACTATCTGGAAAACATGGAAGGTGTTATTCTTCATTAATATTATCAACAGAAATATATTATATGGAACGTGTTATTGTGGTGTGTATTAAAACCATTGTCCATTTCTGATGTCGTATAATAATAGTAATTTTATTCAACACGAAAAAACAAAGAAGTTGTTTTTATGGTTGGATAAACAAAAGAAAAACAAAAAAAATTATACGGATTCTGCATAATGTTTTAGACTCAAGTCGGTTCAGACTCATGACCAGTAGACCCAAGTTCAAATCCTACCTTAGGCTGAACAGAAAAAAAGAGGTCAACCCCTACCCTGGGTGAGTGTGCCACAGACTCAATGGGAAGGCCAATTCCACTGATTGAGATTCATTCAATAACGAATGTGACTTTGGAGGAACCTTGGTTTAGGTCCACAGGTGCTTGTGTTCAACTGGGTTTGTTGACTCCAGGATAGTGCATTGAATAACCATTTGATAAGGAGACGGCCATACAGCCCTGTCATGTAGTCCCAAACATGAATATGGCTTCTGTGGTAAAAATGCACTGTGTGGCAGCAATATCACTTGCAATTTTCACATGAAAAGAAAAAAGTCGGGAGAGACAACAGTGACGTTCAGTGATGTCCAGAACTGTTGCCTGACACAAAAACATTTTTGAAAAAATGTCTTAGCATGCACTTAAAACCAAAATAATTCACAAAAAGCAAATTGTGAGGGTGAAAGGGACAAACTAGATTTTTGGTACATTAACCTTCCCACCTCTCCTATTAAAATAAATCAGATTACTGTCAAAAGAAATCCTAAACAAGCAGCCTGTCGGCTGAGATAGCTCCGCTGTTAGCAATGCACATGGCAATTAAAGAACAGAAGATATCATTAGAAAACGAACAAATCTGAGAGAGGTCCACATGTAGTACCTATATGTATAATATATCAAAGCAATTGGACTTGCGGTTTTCAACAAGAAGTCGAACGAAAATATCACTTTTTACCAAAAATTACAAAAATATTCATCAAAATTAGAAAATTAAAGATATCATTATGAAATGAACAATCTGAGAGAGGTCCACATGTAGTACC